GGCGACCCCTGGGTCTGGTAACCCACCGACATCTCCCGAGCTACAGAGACTAAGGTCTGAGAGAAGGAGAGACCTGAGTACTCGCAGGAGGAATGCTCGCCTTCGGGCGAGACAGGGAGGTGAGTCGCTGGGGGATCAGGACCGACCGTTACCCCGACAAAGATAAAAGGCTGTTGGACCCCGCCCCAGGTTGTGGGAGCAACATTGCTGTTTGCTAGAACCTGCCTGAGACCCTGCGCCTGACCTTGCCTGGTTTCCTGCCTTGGCCCTGTCAGACTGACTCTTCACGCAACCCTTGGATTCTGGACTGGACCTGGACCGCGTTGCTCAGGTTGCCCCTGGGCCCAGCACAATAAGATCCCTACTAAAACAAACCCAAGGACTATTTAGTCCAGGACCTTTTGTCCACAGCTGCCAATCAGCTGCTTCTTTGAGAAGCCTGCAAGCAAGGCATGAGGGCAACAGTACTCTCCCTACTTGTGTTCTCCAGCAACTGGTGGTCAGAGGGATGCTGCCTCTTATCCCACTTAAAGTTGTCCAAGTTGCTGACTGTTGCTAAATCTTGAGGTAGTGAATTAGGAACAGAGAAAGCATATGCATAAAGGAAGCTGCTTACTCAGAACAATGGACCATCTACTTCACCATTGTTGACATTGACTGTTAGCAGCTCTTTGGGGTTTCAGGCAGGAATCTTTCCTAACTCTACCAGGAGATGCTGGTCCTAGAATCCTAGAATCCTAGAATTGTAGAGTTGGAAGGGACCCACAGGTCATCTTGTGCAACCCCCTGCAATGCAGGAATCTCAGCTAAAGCATCCATGACAGATGATCTCTGCTTGAAAAACCTCCAGTGGAGTCCACCACCTCCTGAGGGGGTCCATTCCAATGTCAAACAGCTCTTACCATCAGAAAGTTCTTCCTGATGCTTAATCAGAATCTCCTCCTTTTGTAACTTGAAGCCGTTGGTTTGGGTCCTACCTTCCAGGAGAAAACAAGCTTGTTGTAACTTCTCTGTAACAGCCCTTTAGATATTTGAAGATGGCTGTCATATCTCCACTCAGCCTCTTCTTTTCCAGGCTAAGTGTAACCAACTCCCTCAACCATTCCTCATAAGCCTTGGTTTCCAGACCCTTGATCATCTTGGTCGTCCTTCTCTGCAAACATTCCAGCTTGTAAATATCTTTCTTAAATTGTGGTGGCCAGAACTGTACAGAGGTGCTTCCTTTTACTCTGTCCTGACTCTTCCTCCCTTCACTCTCACTGGATGATTCTAAAGAGGAGGGAGAGGGAATTAAGGGTACATAGCTTTCTGGTGATTTGGTTATATTGATATATCAGGAAGGGCACAAATGGTACCAGCTAGAGAGTTGGGCCAATTTCAGGACTCTGAATATTCCACTTTAGACCAGAAGGTCCTCCCATAGCATTGGCCTTTAAGGCCAGAGCCTGGAACTTCACAAATGCCCACCTGATTGGAACCTAATTCCCCCCACAGTACTCGCCAGTGTGGCACAAAGTGGCACAAGAAACTTTGGAATGGAGGAGTATTTGTCTTTAGGCCAAAACTAGATTGAGATGGTGTTCAGGAGCCTATCAATTGGCAGCACTATTCCTTCCACACAGCAGAATGGAGAGTTGCCTTGGACTGTTTACACAGGAGCCCCCGTTTACCCTACATTGTGGTTGGGTTTTTTGGTTCTTTAAAGAGCTGATGGACCAATGAAGAACCAGGGATGAGAGGTAGAGCACATAAAGTGGAAAACTCACGGTGGATATGACCTTACTGGTCATGATGTCAGTAGGGATTATCTTGCTATTGGATGCTCTTGAGCTCTTTGGGGTATTGAACATCCTTTCACTAGATGTCAAGGTGGTGCATAGAAGTCCATAGTGAACTTGTTTGTGGAATGTTCGTTTGACAAAATACGTTCATTCTGACCTTAATGCAACATTGAATGTTGAATCTGTACTGGAGGTATCCTTGACCTTTTGCGGTCACAATTGCTTGAATGAATTTTAGTTTACCTGTACCTGAAGAAGCTGACTAAATACTCAGAGAAGCTCAAAAGACCACTTGTAGTCATTATCCTTCTTTCTTATAGTTGCTGAAGGCTGGTTGTAAGGCCCTTGTAGTCTGACTTACTGTGTCAAGAAATATCTCATTGGATGAACAGTATGTTCTGGCTTCATTAAATGGGACATCCTCATCCTCATTTGTTCTTTTCACAAGAAACTTATTTTTGCAAACAATTTCCCTTAATAGAGTGGATCTTTGTATGCTATTTTCATGAATGTGTGCATTTTCACAAACTCCCCTCCCCTATGCTTTTTTTGTACACATTTTTCTGGTTGGAAAAATGCATTGCAAAATTCAGAGAAGTGCAAATGTTGAAAGGCTAGTTGCATCCCAGTTCATGTATAGGTTCTGGAAGTACAAATTAGGTAGGTTTGTGTGCATATGGAAACTGAATGAATTCCTCAGCCATTCCTACTGCAGACATCTAATTGATCAAACTGGTTCAAGCTTGTATAAAGCAACACTTGATTGTGCTGAGCAAAGTTGTCCAATTAGTTCCATCTGTGTGATGGAACTTCCTCTCCCTCTTTGTTCCCGACACATTCCCCCGTCAATCTTCTCTGCAGGATTGGGGGAAGAGGAGCACACAGGGAGAGGAGAGAAAAAGGAAGTCCTATTGTGCAGGCAGAAGTCATTGCACTAATGGGACAACATTGTTGGATACAACCCATTGCAGGGACTTCTAAAAATGTAGCTTCGTAAGGAAATATATTTTTCTGTTGAAAAGCATCATGTTCTTGTCTGGATAAACCAATCCCTGCTTACAGGTATACCCTAATCTTCTATCATTTCACATGTGTTTCAGTCCATGTTGATCTGTCCTGTGTTCCTTTCCTAGGCTTTGGAATGCTTTGAAGTTATCTGCCAGAGCAAATCAATGAGTATTGACAAGCCGGGTAATTACATTTACAAGCTAAGACACCTAACCTTCAGTCACTTACTTAAGCTGTTACAAGCTTTCTAACCTGCTTTGCAACTGATCACCAATCTGTATGGCTTTAAGCCAGAAATTCTCATATCTGCTAAATACTTGTCAGTGTTGTGGCGAAAGGACATAACCTCCTACTAATACCAGCACTCTGATAGCCTACGCGGAAAGCCAAAGTCCGAGAAGTAATTAACGGTTCCTTAATCCATTTTTCGGTCTGTGTCAAGTGGACCTGATTTTGATCTGAGATTTGGGAGACTCGGCTGAAAATATCTTAACTTGCTATCTTGAAAGCTGTAGATCGGAATCCAAAATCAAAACATACTGATTAAGGAGTCCAGAAATGCTTGGGTTCCCCCCTCCCCTGTGCATGCTTTCTAGGACAGAAAATAGGTGGGATAAATATTCTCAGGCAATTTTCAGTTTCTACCTTTTCTTTGGAAGTATTTCCTACTGTCTGTCGCAGTCCGGTTCACAGGCGATCGAAGTCCCGGCTGGGGACGTCAGGACTGGGAGCAAGAAGGCAGAGTGGGAGCAGGAACGGGGGTCCAGAAGCCAGGAGTCAGGAAGCCAAGAGTCTGAGGATCAGGAAGCAAGGAGCCAAGGGTCCGAGGATAAAGAAGCAGGGAGTCAAGAAGCCGAGGTTCAAGGATCAGGAAGCAAGAAAGCTAAGGCAGGGAGTGTGTTGCTGTGGCAAAGAGACAAAGGGAAATGCTGACCTTATATCCCTTCCCAGCTCTTGCCACCAGGTGTTGTGAGTTACCAATCTGCCTCACCTGTGAGGCTGTGCCTTGCCTCTTCAGAACAAACTTAGGAAGGCCCCAGTCCTGTGAAGCCCTGCCGGTCACAGGGCCTGGCTCCTGCACACACACCTGACACTGTCTTTTCAACTTGTTACCATCCAAGTCCTCAGAGCTGTGGAGGGATGTTAAATGTGCAGGCGGACACAAGAACAGACCTTTGCGCATGGAGGGGCGAACAAAGGTCACAGGCTACAGGTTCCTCTCTGCTTCCTGTCCCTTTCAACTCTATGATTCCATAATGTGGCTGGTGCAACCATGTGATAATCACATGTTTATGTGCACATAACTAGAGAGCAAATTTTTAGAACAAAAAAAGAACCAAAGGGGGAAAGTTTCCAATCCCTGCCTGAATTTTGCAAACTCTTTTGGCACCTTTGCCTCTGTATTTCCTTTTATCCCTCGCTCTCCAGTTGCCTCCATCGTGGCAAAAAAATAAATCAATCAATTTGCAAACCCTTTGGAGGCGGGGACCAATTTCTGGCTTCTGGTATTCTGCAGACCTCCATGCCCCTAAATACTACTCAGCACTACTCAGTTAGCACGACTTATAAATGAAAATGAAAATAACTATAAGTTACAGCAACTTTCTTACACTGAAAAGTCTCTGAGTCACAGGCTTCAGCTAAGGCTTTCTGTGCAGTGAGACTTGCCAAGGTTACCTGCAAACGGCGTGGGCAGGAGCTCCAAATGGTTCAGTGACACACAAAAAAAGTCATTTACGGAAGGCTAATTTAGGATCAGAACACAGAACTCCCTGTTGCTATGAAGTTGCCAGAAAGCCAGCAGGGTGTGAGATCCATGAACAGGTGAAACCACTAACACAATGATATATTTGGGGAACCCATAATTATACTGCACAGTGACAATATAGTTAGCAGCTCACTATTGGTTTCGGCCATATTCAGGCAGGGAAAATAGGAGCTGCTTCTGCCTTCAGCAAATACCCAGAAGAGGCCAAGTCACAAAAAGTGCTATAATAAGTGTTGTTTTAATGTCTTTCTAAGACTGGCCCTAGACCAAACAGCACCCCAGTCAAGGAACAATTTTAACGCTCCCTTTCTATTGTTCAAATGCTGTATACCTTGTTTTTTATTTGCATTTATAGCCCATTTCATGACTTCCATAGTCATAGAATCCTAGAGTTGGAAGGGATCTTAGGGGTCAGTAAGATCCCCTGTTATGCAGAAATATTTTGCCCAATGTGGGGTTCAAACCCACAACCTGAGATTAAGAATCCCATGTACAGTAAGCTCTACTGACTGAGCTACCCCAGGACAAATGCAACAATAGTCCCAATCTCAACTAAAGCATCCATGGCAGATGGTCTTCCAACCTCTGCTGAAAAACCTTCCGTGATAGTTTGCACACATGCTCATTCCCAGTTGACATGAACAATGATCAGGGATGATGGAAGTTGCATACCTCAGATCCCTCCCCTCACCCCCACCCCCAAAATGCTACAGGTAAGTGTCTGCTAAAAGTGGAACTAATCTATCTAACTTAACAATATAAGGAAAACACGGAGATGGGGTAGAGCAGGGAGATAGCGTGAACCTTAGTATGGGGAGAAGGAGGAAGAACTCTTTCGGGACTGGCAAAGTGTGTAATCAGAAGGAATTAGTTTACAGCGGTACCTCTGGTTACGTACTTAATTCATTCCAGAGGTCCATTCTTAACCTGAAACTGTTCTTAACCTGAGGTACCACTTTAGCTAATGGGGCCTCCCGCTGCTGCTGCGCCGCCATAGCGCGATTTCTGTTCTCATCTTGAAGCAAAGTTCTTAACCTGAGGTACTATTTCTGGGTTAGCAGAGTCTGTAACCTGCAGCGTATGTAACCTGAAGCGTATGTAACCCAAGGTACCACTGTACTTGGTTTTTCCAGTCCCAGTACTTCTGGTGAGAGGTGTTCGAAGTTCATAAATACACTGGGCCTCACATGCTTCCTGCTCTTTTTGCAAATTCACCCATTTTTTTGCCAATTAGCATATATATTATTATTATTTGCCAATTAGCATATACAGTGGTACCTCTGGTTAACAACTTAATTCGTTCCAGAGGTCCGTTCTTAACCTGAAACCGTTCTTAACCTGAGGTACCACTTTAGGTAATGGGGCCTCCTGCTGCCGTCGCGCCGCCACCGCACAATTTCTGTTCCCATCCTGAGGTTCTTAACCCAAGATACTACTTCCGGGTTAGCAGAGTCTGTAACCCAAAGTGTTTGTAACCCGAGGTGTTTGTAGCCCGAGGTACCAGTGTGTGTGTGTGTGTGTGTGTGTGTGTGTGTGAAATCTATTTGCCAACTGCTTTATTAAAATAGTTCTCCAGGGTGGAGCAGATGGATTGAGGATTTTCTTGGTGAAGTCTGACCCAGTCCATCCCTTTCACCCACTATTAAACCCACTTTTCCAAATCTTGTGGTTCTTTGTCATTTATTCCTTTTGATTTAATCTCGCTGTTTATGTGTTTGAGTCTTTTGTTGCTTGCTTGTTCTTATTAGAATCAATGGATCCCTCCCACGGCTGCTCTGGATGAGTTTGCCTTAGTTCAGTGTTGGCTTTTATTTAGCCAATGTTTGCCTTATACAAATAAATTCCCTCTGCCTCACTCTGTTTGTTTGACTGTGTGGGGCCCTTTCATACCCCACCCCCTTAGTCCAGTGGTTCTCAAACTTTTTTCTCTGGACCACATTTTCAGAATAAAAAAATTGCTCATGCCACTCTGAACTTTTGTATCCACAAGAAAACAGTGGAAAACAAAAAGAAACAACTCCTGGCATGGCTTGATTTTAAAGTTATCTATCCACTATCTACTTAAAAAGTAGAGACATCACCTTGCCAACAAAGGTCCGTATAGTTAAAGCCATGGTTTTCCCAGTAGTGATGTATGGAAGTGAGAGCTGGACTGAAGAAGGCTGATCGCCGAAGAATTGATGCTTTTGAATTATGGTGCTGGAGGAGACTCTTGAGAGTCCCATGGACTGCAAGAAGATCAAACCTATCCATTCTGAAGGACAATACTTTGGCCACCTCCTGAGAAGAGAAGACTCCCTGGAAAAGACCCTGATGTTGGGAAAGATGGAGGGCACAAGGAGAAGGGGACGACAGAGGACGAGATGGTTGGATAGTGTTTTCAAAGCTACCAGCATGACTTTGACCAAAGTGCAGGAGGCAGTGGAAGACAGGAGTGCCTGGCATGCTCTGGTCCATGGGGTCACGAAGAGTCAGACATGACTAAATGACTAAACAACAACAGTTTCTTCTCCCCACCCTCCCCGGGCTAAATACAGGAGATCAACCCTGCATGCAGCTGACACAGGAAAGATGGGAAGTTCAGGTTTCCAACAGATCCCAACTAGTAACTTCTGCAGCCAAGTTGAAGCTCGCTAATATTTGGGGTAGCGCTACTCAGAACATGGGGCTCAATATCTCTCTTTACTCTCAATTTTTCAATATGCCCGCAGAAGAAATCAAAGTAAACTGAACCAAACTGGGTTGTAGGGAGGGGGGAACACTCTGAAAAGAAAAGGCACTAATATTCAAAGCCGGATCTGCAGAGAAGTCTCTTTTCAAGGTATTTCTCCGGGCACGGTAAACATTTTGGTCAGTTCTGAAAAGCAATTGCCTTCTCAAAAGGTGCCATTAGCATTCATTATGTCTTGCGCTGTTTAACAAAGCAGGCATAATCAGGAACAAAACGTGACTGCCCACGAGCATCTAGAGGGCCAAGAAAATGGATAGATTTGAAGTAATTACGTACAGATTTAATTTTAAATGTGTGCTTTCCCCTCCTGAGGAAGGTGTCCTGTTGCTAAAGAGCCAATTTAATACAAGCTAGAGGTTTTTCCCCTCTCTCCTTTTTGTTTAAAAGCGAACACTTACTTTTTAAAGTCTGACTTGAAAGAGATGTCGAATTAACAGTAAGAAAACTGTTGGATTCTTTTCTCGCATTATGCTCACTGTTTCAAACAGTGCTTAGAACACCATTTAGAGTCCTTTTCTTAATAATAAAAAGGATACTTTTTATTTCAAAGAGATTAAGTTCTGCTTAGATGGCATTGTGAAAAGGGAAAGAGGAGCATTATGCTTTCTAAACAAATATTTAAACCCTTCAAAAATGCTAACCTAAAGGTTCTATTTTTTAATATCGTATCCCCCCACCCTTTACTGCACATTAGGATCTGTGTAGGGAATCAGAAAACAAAGGCATTAAAATACCATGGAATGAAATATCCTACTGTTTTCTCAAATGTAACAAAATCCAGATCTATTGCACTTTTGCACAGTATAGATTTTTCTCCCAACAGAGTATGTGTAGGTATTCCTTTTTTTTTTTTTAAATCATATTTATTAAAGTTTCCAAAAATATAAAAGTACAAAGAAAAAAGACAAAAGAAAGAAGATATTTAAAAACCTTACTTTCATTCCCTACTTTCTGGAACTCCCCTCCCCCAATTGTATTCCCCTTTCCTTAATTTGGTTCTACAAGCTCTCACTCCCAAATTTAAAGCTTAATTTGTTTAACCCACTATCCAAATTGAATTGTACAAATCTTACCACCGTCCCACATCATTAACAGAAAAAGAAAAAAGATTTTCCCCAAGATCCACCCCAGTTCCTTCCACAAATTCCTTTTTTTAAACACGTCCGATCAAAGTAAAATAACATGCGTAAGTTATGTAAAGAAATAGAAAATAAGAGATATAGAAAAGTTCAAAAATGGTTACACAGCCTTTGGATTTCAAATCTCCCCCTTCCCCGGTTTGAATTCCCATGTCCATCAGTCTATACATTATCAGCTTGGAAGTCTCATTTCATGACCAGATTTCTCCCGATTCCATCTTGCCGTTTTTCTTTTAGTTTATTAATTTAAATAATATTTGACTTCAAATGTCCAATCTAACAAAGGCCTTTAATTTCCTTGATCTTTACCACTCCTCCCGTTGTTCTTTCCGTGTCGTAATCAGTCCTTTATTCTTCTTATTCCTCACTTTCTCAGGTTTCTTGTCCTGTTCAGCTGCTAAAACTTTCTAATTCAGAAATCTAGTGTCTCTGCAGAGGTTTGTTATTCAGGAACAAAAACTTACGTCCAGTCCCTTTCTTTCTTCAATAAAAATTCCATTGTCTTCCTCTGTAGACAAAATACTCTTTCAGTTTTGCAGCTTTCCCAGAAGATAACAAATCCTGTGCGAATCCCAGGTATTTTTCCACTTACGACCGTTCTTGTAGTATCCTGAAACCCCTCTAGGGGGATTGTAATAACTTTGTATCCTCTAATCCAAAAGTCAAATTGTTGCTTATTTTCCAACAGTTTATATCCATATTATAGCAAATTGTAGCAAAATTTACCAGCAAGGTCCTCATAAAGTCCTCTTTATATTCTCCAGCTTTGACAGCCACTTTGACAGCTGTCAAAGTCTCCGTCTCTCTTCACCAGGCTCCACGAATCGCCCGGTTCCCAGGGGGGCTGCATTTTCTTCTCACCCTCCACTCTTCTCCTCCAGCACATTTCTTATAATTTCCCATCGTGAAATTAATGATTTTTATCAGAGACATACTTCCCTTTGGACCTTGGTTACCCAGTCCTTGTTTTGGAATGCTTACAATAGGGGGGGGGATTGACTTACTTTTAAATCGCCCCGCTCGTGCCAAATCCAAAATTTTGAACCCGGTTTCCCAATTACTCACGGGTTGTTGTTAATAGTCCAAATTTTCAATAGAAGAAGTCAGCGCTCTCCGTCGAATGGCATGCGGCTGCGCTCGGCAGGGAAAGCAGTGGACTCAAAGCACCACGCCACTCCCGGCACCCGATCCGAAGCCTTTAAAAAGGCTCCTTCACGAGTCGGGAGGGCGCTAATGGTGCAAGCCGAGTCACCCATGTCCACGGACTCCGTGCCCGTGGTTTTTAAGGGTCCCCGCGTCGCCGGCGCGGTAGGACCCAGCCCCTGCCGAGCAGACTCCCTCCGGAGCTCGGAGGGAGTCCGCCATTCGGCGATGGCGCTAACCCGGAAGTCTCATGTGTAGGTATTCCTATGGTACTTGCACTTTCCATTTCTGTGATGGGGTAAACAACAATAACCTTGCCCATGGAATCAAACGTATGCCAACTGAGAAGTAAGTCTTATTCAATTCAGTGGGATCTGTTTCCAAGTATGTTTGTATAGACTGCAGCTTTATGGAGAACATGTGAATATTTGAAAGTGTTGATGATTTTATGCATGTGTAAAGCTAAAGCTAAAGGGACTCCTGACCGTTAGGTCCAGTCGCAGATGACTCTGG